CTTTTGAAGGATATTAAGGATTCTATGCGATATACCAACACAAAGTAGCATTTAACTGCATATCAAAAAATAGAAATCTGCACATTTTGCTGTACATATGTATCCAACCGTATTTCCTTTAAATAAACCCCAAGCAAACAGTTATCTTTAGAGGTCATTGATTTGGCTAATAGACTGTCTGGATGTAACTGAAACCCAGTATTGATGCAGTTCTTCTGTGAAAGCAGCATCATGGAGACCAAGGACCCCAGCAGACGGGCCAGGGAGGAAGGTCTGGGTTTGCTTAAAGTAGGACTGACTTCTCCTTTGTAAGGAGATGTGTGCGCGCTGTAACTCTGTCTTACCTTCTGTTTGACAGAAAACCCACTTTAAGCGTGTTACTGCCACATAAAGGGCTGGACTGAGAAATGTTATTCTCTTATCCTGACCAAAACTGAGTTCCTTTGCAGTTTGAAAATTGTGTGGGTTTTTTCCCCCAACTTGCGGTTAAAATGCATTTATCCAATCTACTTTATTTATATAGCACATTTAACAACAGAAGAGGTTTCGAATGTGCTGTACATAACAAATGATAAACAACAACACAACAATACATAAACACAATACAACAAGAAATAAACTAAAAAGGACACAGAGGACCACACAAACTACACATGAAAAACCAAAGAGTAAAAGTGGGTCTTAAGAAGAGACTTAAAACACTCCACTGTAGAGGCAGTCCGTATATGGAGGGGCAAAGTATTCCAAAGTCTGCGGCCAACTACAGAAAATGCTCTGTCCCCTCTGATTTTAAGCCTCATCTTAGGCACTATTAACTGAAGATGGCCCTCAGACCTCAGAGCACGTGCCGGAGAATAAATCTGGAGGAGCTCAGTGATGTATTGAGGAGCCATCCCATTCAGGGCTCTAAACACAAACAATACAATCTTAAAATCAATTCTAAAACGAGCATTTGCCCAGTCCTAGTTGAAAACAGGGTTAGGTTCTAAAACAACATCCTAAACTTTGAACATCATTCAGACCTCTGACCAATTATCCAAGGGCAAAACAACAACACAACTCTCAGCATTGTTTAGAGCAGCAGCCCAGAGGTAACTGTGGATGAGCTGCAGGTCAGCTGGAAGAAGTCATTGAGAAGATAACTAATACTGGTTTGATTAAGGAGTAATGGCAAAAAAATGCCAGAATTGATCATTTTTACAGGTTGTCACTGGATTATTTTAAACCTTTTGTGAATGAGTGAAAGAAGGTGGTGCTTTGCTCATATGAGACCAAAAGAGCTTTTGTGTTTCATATAAAGTTCTTTAGTGTTACAACAACAAAAATATATATTTTAGATCTTTTTTTTTCATGAAACATTTTCTAAACCATATTAGATGTTTTTCCTCCTGCTTTTCAATCATGCAACACTTCTTGTTGACCTATTGCACAACAGCCCACTAAAACCTTTTGAAGTTTGTTTTCCGAATGTGGTGTCTTGTGAGGATATCATGCAGTTTATTTATGTGGTCTGAAAGGCACTTTAAGAGATCTCCTGATATAACAACTAGAAAGATTTAGAGATCTCACACTGAGAGAAGATTAAGGGAAACCGAGGTGATAAATTCAAGTAATAATTGAACCTCTGATTCTTTAATAACAACAGGAAATGTTTCTGAGCCCCCAGTGGAAGGAGAGTACTTTAAATATAACTCAAACAGGGAGCGGCGGCTTAAAGTTGAACTTGATTAATGCCTCGTTTAGTCAGTTTTCTGTGATTTCTTTGAATCTTTTTCTACAATGGGGTAAAATTAGTCCAGTTTTTATAGAATGAGAATATATACAAAACTTAACTGTTTTCACTCTATTCGATTTTCTTTTCTTTTTTTATAACAGTTGCTTCTTTTCTGCTTCTGAATGACCTTGAACTTATCAGGGTCAAAGGATATTGTTCTGATTTCAAACTGTATTTTAAATGCAACCTCGCCTCATTAGGCACAACTTTAAATTAAAGCAAAGTTTAAAAAAAAGATCCTCAGTCTAAGCAAATGTCAATGTCATGCCACCAGTTGTGTTCCTCATTCTATCCTTTCCTACAATCCTCTGATCCAGCATGAAAATGCCTCATTCTGACCTGCCCCGTCTTTAGGGGCAGGACGTCTCCGCTAGAAGTCGTCTCATCAGGAGGTCAGATCTCTACTGCAGCACAGCCAAAGACAAACACCATCACAAAGTCAAAGTGCCCCTTTTAGAAGATTTCAGTGCATAGGAAGAGGCCCTATAGATGACATGTAATGAGCCTGGCAGCCGGGGGCATCACAGATACCCCCAGTGGGAATCATCTGGCAGGATGACAGGACGAGGTAACAGAAGGGGGTCTGCATATGTTCACCATAGGAGATAAGAGAATATATGTCACAGTTTTTCAAATGCAGATGTACTAATGAGAGACTTGGATACAGATCGGGTTTACTGGAGAAGCATGTACGTCTTTGAAATGTTTGAAGAGTCTTTGAAAGCTTTCTAAAGCATTTCCTGGTTTAAATCTCTAACTCAGCTGTGTTCCTCTGATAACCGCCTAATCAAAAGGCCGAAGAATCTACCTAGAGAGCTGTCCTGTTTCTGAACTATCCCTTTCTCCTCAGTGGTCAGGAGGAGGCGATGATGGGTCAGCTGGTGCAGTTTGGTCCATTGGCTGCTGTCGTGGATGCCGTCAGTTGGCAGGATTACCTGGGAGGCATCATCCAGCACCACTGCTCCAGCCAATGGTCTAACCACGCTGTCTTAGTAGTTGGATACGACACGACTGGTACAAACCTTCACACAACAGACACCGAGGCAGTCTATGCCTTTTTCAGTTTAAGTGCCTCCCATTTCGGGCGGAAAAAGCCCTCTACGTTTTATGCATTGTGTCATTATTGATCAACAATGGCCACAGATCAGGAAATTAAATATTGGCTTGGGAAATACATTTTTGGAGGAAAAAAGAAGGGAATGTTGGGTTTATTTCCTTTTTTCATGTTATTTGATTTGAATACAGAAAAAAAGGACTTATCGTATCGCATATCATGGCTGCAACAATCGGATAAATCTTGATTAAACTATTAGTAAAATATTAGAAACTATTCAGAAATATTCTATAATTAGTAGATGAAGGATTATTAACTGTGCTATGCAGACTTAAGACATGCAATATGCTGAGACAACAACCCACTCAGTCTAAAAAAACATATCTTGCAATTAAGATTAAAAACCTTTGTCTATAAATATTCTCTGTCCAAACCTCACAGAGTTGCCTAATTTATCTTAACCTGGTTAAGATCCTACAAAGTATTTCCTACTAACCACTTGATGATTTGATTGTTAATCGAAAAAAATAGTTACTCAATTAGCAAGGTAATCTTTAGTTGCAGCCTTATTCCATATCCTAACTGCCAGCGAATTTAACTGCAGAATAGAAAACTGTCAGATTTGTGGTCGAATGTTTTATGATCACTGCATTTACATTTCTTTGTGATTTGAATGTTTGTTCTTTTCTTTTCTATCCCTGCAGCCATTTATACCAATATTAACTTCCTATAATAGTTAAATTCAAAACACTAATTGATGTTTTGCAGCATTTATTTTTTTCACAGTCTTGTTTACAGTTTATTATGATATGAAATAATTATGCAGAAAGAAAAAAAAAAAACACAGCAAACTTGACCCGTGAGGCTCATTAAATGGCTGTTTTCTGTCATAGGCGACATACCTTACTGGATTGTGCAGAACTCCTGGGGAACTGAATGGGGAGATCAGGGTTACGTGTATATAAAAATCGGTGGCAACATGTGTGGTAAGGTCATCATCCTTGGAGCATTCTGATGTGTTAACCCAGCCTATTGTGCTCTTGGTGGTGAACCATGCTCTTGTTTTGGTTTTCTTCCCAGGTATTGCAGATTCTGTGGCAGCTGTTTCTCTTTGACAAGAGTTTATTTGAGTCAGACGGGTTTGTGTGAGTCACTGTGTGGGTGCTTCCCCTTGCCAAAATGAAACAACTCATGTGTTCAGCATCTCTGTGGATAATGATTTCTTTTTTAAATGTAGCCATCTTGTGTCACTCAAACAAATAAAACCCCTTTTATGTTTGCAAGTGTTTATATTCACTGTACAAAACAGACATTATATTAAATACAAAATATACAGCAGAACTTGTCAATTTTCTTTACAAATACATCATCAATTAGTTGATAAATATAATACAAAATTATCTAGAATACTATACAGAAGTTGAAGAGCTAGATGATTAGCATTATGTACACAGTTAATGTCGTCTACGGATTTAAGCCGTGCAAATCTCCCTGCTTTAGTGGTTGGCATTTTAAATGCTTGAGATTTCATCTTATTTACACTCTTTTCTTTCACTTAAGGTGCATCTGTGTGAAGCGGCCCATTGCGACATGCTGACATGAAAGGCGTTGCGTAAAAACCCAGCAGCATTGTGCCTTCATGCACGGTTTGATCATTCCACCCACTGATCTGCCTGCCTCCAGGTCACTTCTCCTTCATTTACATAGGGTTACATCTAGGCAGGCCTTATCAAGGAGCCGTCTGCGGCACTTTGTGACTCAGAGGCCAGATTAAAGTAAAAAAGCTTGATTTGGCATCGTGAAATATTTAATGTCAGACATTATGTCACAAGCCCTGCAACTGGATTTTTTTTTTCTGGTTAATTTCTACCTCTTGCTGAACTTTAGTATATAAAAACCTAATTATGAATTTCGTTCACAAATCTACTAAGCCAACCTAACACCTGGTATAAAACACTGACGATCATTTTTATTCTTTTCGTATGAATTTTACTACTGTCCTTACTTGGCTTGAGTGAAGTTGAATAAATCTGATGTCAAAATGGTGCTCTGACTCATTTATATATTGGCCCGACAGAGGGGCTGAACTACACCTACACACTTGGCAAATAACCCCATGGCTGACATCTGCCACCATGAAGGGAGGCAAGAACAGACGGCAGAGATGCACTTTTAGTCTGAGTCCTCGCTGCTGCAGTAGGAGCTGTCGCAGCATTCGGCCATGTACAGGAAGGTGTGAACGTTGGGGTTGAGTTTGGGCACCCAGTGACGAGGCACCAGGAATGTAGCCAGGTTAAACAGATCCACAAACACTTTGTAGCGGTCACTAAATAAAAAAAAAAAACATACAATCATGAGGTTGGAAGATAGCTGCACAGGCACAACTTAAGGGCAACAGAAGTTATTCTGAAAATGTCTTTTAAAGTTTTGTGTCTTCGCCTTCTGGGAGACAATACCCAAGTGACAGGTTCTTCTTTTAATGAGCAAAATATCACTGCACTATCCTCATCTAAATTAGCTTTGAAAGGCTTTGCAAAGGAATGTTTGCAATCATGAGACTGAAGTGGAAATGAAACAATACCTGACAGTGGATCTTAAGTACTGGTAGCCTGATGAGCCCCCTGTTCCAGCTTTGCTGCCAATCATTCGGTGTACCATGCACACATGGTTGTCTTGAAGAGAGAAGAGAAAAAAGTCAAACGTCTTTGGTTATATTTGGTTCCATATCAGCCTCACTGTTTTAAGTATTTATATCTCTTGAACCTCCACATTTTTGACGTTTCAACCCAAATTTTCGATGGAATTTTGTTTCATCAACACAGAGCAAAACCAAGCAGTGAGAGTAACAAGATACATGGTGCATAGCTTTAAAATTGATTTATGAATAAATGGTAACACATTTGCACATCTACAGACTGACCTCAATGCTTTGCATTAAATTGTTTTATTGTAACCCTGGCTGAGTTTACTCTTGTTTTGTTGGAAGTCAAACCTCCCCCTTCTGGAGTTTTTTGCAGCACTTTATGCTTCCAGGACTGTCGTTCATTTCTTTCCATTCCACCTTCCAATTAGGATTAACCGACATCCCTGTCTCTGCTGAAGAAAAACTTGCCCACAGCATACTGCATCCACCACTATGTCACAACATGTGTTAGATGACCTCCATTTGTTTTGTTGTATCATTCAAAGCATTTTGCATGTAGGCCTTCTGATCACAGCACCACACATTAGCTGTATCTGCTACAGTATATGACCTTAGTATAACTTTGCTTGGCTTATTTCAGCAGTAGATGTATTATGATCCAAAGCATAATACTCAGATTTGTCTTTTCCTGTACAAATCTTTTCCCACCTGAGCTGTGGATCCCTCCAACTCCTCCATAGTCACCACTGGCCTTGTGCTCCCTACTCTAAATAATGCTGTCCTTGAATAGTCTGCAGAGGCTCCATTCTTGCTACATGTTCAGATGATGGATTGAAAATAGTTGTGGGAGAATTTCAAATCTTGGTGTTTAAGAACCTAACGCTGCTTGAGGCTCAACCAGAGCTTCCTCCATCACCCCTCTGTTAGGTATGTTTGGTTTTTGTGATGCTAGTCGCTATGTAATTTTCTCTTAAGAACCTCTGAGGCCAGAAATGGAACAGCAGCATTTATATTGATATTAACTTACATATAGTTAGACTTCATAAACTAGTTAGATGTCAGACATTCTTAGGGAAAACTGGATTTTATTAAGGTTATATGTAAAGGAAATAGAATACAATGCACATATTTTTTAGATTTTATTTTGTAAAGAACATATTGGAAGGATGCCTCCACCCGCCCTTTGAAGTATACAACTCTTAGTTTTCTTTATATTCAGAAATTTGTACTTTCGAAGTCGTGAGTAAATCTTAACTCTGGTTTAACTAAGTGTAGTTTCTAGTAATGTAGCTCTAACTTTAAGCAAACTGAAACTTCTCTTCGTGTTTCCATATATGCACCCAGTCCCATCATCTGTAAAATACTTACATCTCCATTTTGTCATGAGGGTGTCGATGTCCATGAGGGATGTGAGCAGCTGGAAGGGGACCTGGAACCTCGGCTCTTCCCTGAAAGGTAAGGCAAGGTTTGATGTTTTAAACATCTCATGAAAATCCTACTAAATTTTAATGGGTGTAAAATGAGAGCAGCTGTCACCTGGGCACCGGCAACAACCCCGGCAGTTTTGCACTAATTATCACTTTGCAGTTGCTGCCGGATGACTTTGTTAGGCCTGCTGAAGCCTTAATGAGCCTCATGTGACATTCTGTCCTTATCACATGTGTTACGTAGCTACGACACCTTTAGGAAAAACTGACAGACATGCTCAGACTGTTGAAGCCTCCTCAAGACCTCTTTACAACTGCTGTAGGTGTCGCCTGGCTGACAGGGTTTCAGAACCGGGCTTGTGATATGGAAATGTTATATGGGGGGAATTAATGAGCACCCCTGCCTCTGGAACTTGCACTAAGATGTTCTTAAGTTAGAAGTCCCTTTGGAGGTGCCAACACCTTCCAGATATAAAAAATGTATGAGCTGTAATGGTACAGTATAAATGCTGCAGTTTTACTGGAAAATTAGAGGTAAAGAAGCACAAAGAAAAGCTTGTCATACCTGTAGAAGTAGATCATCAGAGCACCTTGTAAAGCCTTGTAAGATAGCCGTCTTTCCCCTTGGAAGCAAAAATGAAAAAATACCTTTATTTTGAAGCAACATAAATTGTGTTTATTTGTGCTGCATTGTGAGCAAAAGTTCAAACTCCACAGGAGGCAATTTAAGGAAGCGTAGAACAAACAGAGGGCATCTCTAATGTTTTGTGACATCTGATTAAAGAGCTACCTTTGCTGACCAGGTGGTAATGACGTTTTTCATCAAACAGGGACGTGAAGAGCTCTCTCTGTTTGACGAGCTCAGCCATCAGCTCCTCTTTCTCCTCAGACTCTGGCATTTTCTACAAAAATAAACAATGCCCGCAAACAAGAATCCAACTTCTGTCAATCATCCGTGCACTCCGGGGCGAAGCTGGGAATGTTTGTTCTTGGAGCTAAAGTTATTTCTTACCTCGATTTTCTTCTCCTCCAGATTCAGTCCATCGAATATATTGATTTTTAGTCTTTCCCAGAAATTGAATCCATCCACTTCCAAGCCAGGTGTTCTCTCCAGCCACTCCTGTAAGAATCGCCCAAAACTTTAATGTCATTTTTTCACTGAGAAGTCGCACTAAAGTTGCTCTAGAGCAGATCCAACCATAGAGTAACCCTGTGGTAATTAACTCGTTGGCTAAATCAGGTAAATCAATAGTAATGTGTACGGAGCACCAAGACGAACCTCAACGAGCTTCAGAAGCGTTGGCTCTTGTTCTGTCTCCACCAGCATCTCACTGTCATGCCCCTTAAAATTGTCCCTGTAATGACGTCTGTTGTAGGGAACCCTCAGGTTGTCCGGCACCCCGATTTTGTTCTCCAAAAGCCGGAATTGAAGACTTTGGAACCCAGAGGCAGGAGACAGGTACTCCCTGGAGACCCAAGATCAATTTAACGACCCACACTTAACGCAACGGGAATAAAGCATGATCAGGAAGTGGGTCTCATAAACATTTTCAGAGCTTATTTATATATATAACTTTGGGGGAGTGGCGGCCTAGTGGTTAGGACATAGAGCTTGGAATCCTGAGGTTCTAAGTTCGAGCGCCCCTCCCACAGACTGGCACTCTGGGTCTCTGAGAAAGACCCTCCAATTGCTCCCTAGGTGCCCCACGATGGCCGCCCACTGCTCCCCAAAGGGGATGGGTTAAATAGAGAGGTACATTTCTCCAATGTGAGATCAATAAAGTTCTATTATTACTGTTATCATTGTTATTGATAAGCTTACCTGAAGTCAAAAAAATCCAGGGCTGTCATTGTTTCCAGAACGGCAAACTGGTCGACCAACAGTCTGAAGATCATTACAATCCTGTGGATTCGAGTGTTGACTTTAAGCATGTTGCGTTCATCTCTGACCTGGTGAGGAGGAATAAAATGATAATTGCAATAAAGTTTTTAAAAAAATACTAAAATAAAACTTGTAGTAATAGGATGTGTGTCATTTTTGGAGGGCGATTTAATCCAGGACATGAGCCCCGAGGATAAGTAGAGGTCTCTAACCTGACTGAGCTACAATTTTAAACATAACTTTCACATGCCGTTTCAGTGCTGTTAAGAGATCTGACTCTTAGGAGCTGTTTTAGATCCCAAACATTCGAGGATCTAAACCGATTGGTGCAAAATGTTCTTTTCTGTGTGACTTACATGCCCACTGATGAAGATCTGCCGCACTGAATCAAGCTCAAATAGAATCTGTTTGAACCACAGTTCATAGGCTGAAAATAAAAATCAAAGGTTCAATCATCATGAATAGCTCTGTCATATTAGAAATTTGAGATGCGAACAGCAAATTAGGTCATTAACCTTCAGGTGTGAATCCTAAATGTCTTTTTCTGTTTGGTTAAACTAGAAAAATGTGTATTTAACTGTACCTTGATGGGTGACAATGAAAAGATGCTCATCGTGGATCTTGTTGCCTTTCAGTTCACTTTGTAAAACCTGAGCTGAGGTTATTTTGTCCAGCTAAGGGTTGGATTAAAATAAAACATTAAAAGCATTGATTTAGTATTTTGGTTCTTTAAAAAGACCCTAGGATGAAGAGGAAATCATTGTGATTTACCTGTAGGTAGTCTCCATAGATGATTCCTCCCTTACTGGCCTTGTTTACACCTGCCTGCGAGGCATCGTCATCTTCCTCAATTGGAGGTTTGTTTTTGAATAACCTACAAGACAGAAGATGGTAGCCAATAGATATAGGAGGTTTTTCTAAGAACAGAATAAAAACAATGACATTTTAATGTTGAAGGAGAAGCAGAAGTGAAGTCCTTAAAGTCAATAACCTGAACGTACAAATGCTTTTTCTCAAAAAACGGGCATTGACTCATGGCTTATCCCTATTGGTTGCAGAAAAGATGTCCTCCCTTGTTTCACTAAACTGTACTAACACTGCTCTCGACACAGTCTCTGTTTTTAAAGATGTAACTCATCCAATCAGTCACGAGGATACAGTTCAATCTGACCCGCCTCTATTTGCCCCATGCAGTTGATGTTTATCTTAAACTCTGGTTACATTCTGGACTTTGTGTCACCTGCTTAAAATATATATGTATAAAAAAAAAAAAAAAAACAGACCCAAAAGTTCAGGACCTGTGTAGCTGAGACAGCTGTTGTCACTGCTCCCAATCCAGAGTATCTTCCAAATCACCACTTAGGCCAGGATTTTGTACAGTTTATGATCACAGGTAGGAAATCCAAGCAGGAAAAAAACTTAGACTTCCTTTAACTTCTCTGTTCAGGACTTCAAAATCAGGGCTGTGCTTAAAAAAAGTATGTTTTAATTCAATTCAATGATTTATCTAACCAAAGACTGACTAAAAAACATTTTTACTGCCCTTACAACCGGCAATAACTACCTTTACTTTATTAATGTTAAAATAAAACTAGAATAAAATGTATAATTACACAGTCATACCCACATTCCAACTTAAGATCAGATCAGACAGGAGCCAGATGAGATCAGATGGAAAAGCATAAATTCTAAACCTTTAGAACAAAAATCAAATCAATTCTTGAAATTTGAATTGATACCCAGCGTTATTTAGTAACATACTCAGTTACAGATCCTCAGCTTAGGTGAACATGATTAAGAATGTAGTCTATGTGTACGAGAATGGGGTGTTCTTGCAAAAAAACAAAAAAATACCAAAACAAGTTCACAGTGTTCTTTTAAGTTACATTTAAACCATACTACATAACACTGTTTCAGTTTATGCAAATTCAAGTAGAGAAAGATATGAAAACAACAAAAAAGCAAGGAAAGATGTTTTTTGGTACAGCAAAACACATAGAAAAGTCAATTTCAGAATATAAAAAATAGACTAAAACTGAATATTTAATATAATGATTAACAAAAATTAATGATAAAATTAGTAATATTCCTAATAAAATTATTTGTAAACTAAGAGGGTAAAAAAAATGTGAGATGGAGGTAAACCACAAAAAGGCTTAAATAGGAGGCTGAGACTTTTGCTCAGTTTATTTAAATTAGTTTTTTTCACCTATCCCAGAGTTTCAGCTCTGTCGAATTGCACCAGGGCAATCTGTAGTTGGAGCGCTGATGTTGGAGCCACTTCCTCAAGCTTGCTCTAGTGCAAGCTATCTGATATAAGATCCGATGTATGGGACAGTCCTGTATTTTTCACTTCTGTCCCGCTGTTCCACAAACTGAAGATACATCCTTCATTTGACTGGGTGAAATTAGAAAACAAAAAAAATTTAAACATGATGATGTTAAACAACACTGTCTGCACTGTCAACCCTAGTTGTTCAACATTTTATTTTATTTATTTCTCTTTAGATCTCATCCTGCCTGAGAGTTCTGGGTGGTTGATACAATGATAGCAAGTCTTGATGTGTTCAAGACATTCAGTGAGTGATAAACTGTTTTGAAGTCTATTCTTTCAGATACAGGGAACCAGTGTAAGGCCTTTAAACTGGGGTGATTTGCTCCACTTTCCTAGTTTAGTGAGGATGTGGGCAGCAGCATTCTGGATCAGTTGTGAAAACACTGTTGCAATGATCAATTCTACCAAAAAAATGAACATATTGAAATCCTGCTGAGACATTAGTTCATTAATCCTGAAGATGTTCTTTAGGTGATCGAAGGTCGAGTTTGTTTCTGTCTTTATTTCCCTCTGAAGGTTAAAGTCTGAGTTCATCACTACAAACTGGTCTCTAGCCTGATCAGTGGTTTCTAGGTGAAATGACTGAAGCTGTGTGCTAACTTTTAATTGCTCCTCTTTTCATCCAAAATTATTGCTTCAGTTTTAGTATTAGCTAACTGAATAAACATTTTGGCACATTTATGTATTGATTTCTACAATAAATAAAATCATAGTCACCTGACTGTAATACAGAGCAACTTATGTTCTTGTTGATTAAAGTCTAAGCTAGGGGACCAGACAGGCAGGCAGATTTGTGTTGATTAATAATTTTAAAAAATACTTTTGTTTAAACATTAATTCATTCGGTAAATTATTAAATTTAAATGGAAACAACTTGATAACATTGCAACAGCCTTTGATTCACCAAAAGCCTTTGGTGCTACAAACGAGTCGCTGAAGTCTTCAGTCATGTTTGCATTCTTTGAAACTACATAACCCATAATTCCTGTACGTCGATCCATCCGTTGGAGTAAATTTTAGTAACTTCATAATTTCATTCAATACGTTCAGATAACCATTATTATTCATAACCATTAAGTATTCAGGTTTTATTCAATATAAAAATATATATATATATATATATATATATATACACTCACCGGCCACTTTATTAGGTACACCTGTCCAACTGCTCGTTAACACTTAATTTCTAAGCAGCCAATCACATGGCGGCAACTCAGTGCATTTAGGCATGTAGACATGGTCAAGACAATCTCCTGCAGTTCAAACCGAGCATCAGTATGGGGAAGAAAGGTGATTTGAGTGACTTTGAACATGGCATGATTGTTGGTGCCAGAAGGGCTGGTCTGAGTATTTCAGAAACTGCTGATCTACTGGGATTTTCACGCACAACCATCTCTAGGGTTTACAGAGAATGGTCCGAAAAAGAAAAAACATCCAGTGAGCGGCAGTTCTGTGGGCGGAAATGCCTTGTTGATGCCATAGGTCAGAGGAGAATGGCCAGACTGGTTCGAGCTGATAGAAGGGCAACAGTGACTCAAATAACCACCCGTTACAACCAAGGTGGGCAGAAGAGCATCTCTGAACGCACAGTACGTCGAACTTTGAGGCAGATGGGCTACAGCAGCAGAAGACCACACCGGGTGCCACTCCTTTCAGCTAAGAACAGGAAACTGAGGCTACAATTTGCACAAGCTCATCGAAATTGGACAATAGAAGATTGGAAAAACGTTGCCTGGTCTGATGAGTCTCGATTTCTGCTGCGACATTCGGATGGTAGGTAGGGTCAGAATTTGGCGTCTACAACATGAAAGCATGGATCCATCCTGCCTTGTATCAATGGTTCAGGCTGGTGGTGGTGGTGTCATGGTGTGGGGAATATTTTTTTGGCACTCTTTGGGCCCCTTGGTACCAATTGAGCATCGTTGCAACGCCACAGCCTACCTGAGTATTGTTGCTGACCATGTCCATCCCTTTATGACCACAATGTACCCAACTTCTGATGGCTACTTTCAGCAGCATAATGCGCCATGTCATAAAGCTGGAATCATTTCTGGTTTCTTGAACATGATATTGAGTTCACTGTACTCAAATGGCCTCCACAGTCACCAGATCTCAATCCAATAGAGCATCTTTGGGATGTGGTGGAACAGGAGATTCGCATCATGGATGTGCAGCCGACAAATCTGCGGCAACTGTGTGATGCCATCATGTCAATATGGACCAAACTCCCTGAGGAATGCTTCCAGCACCTTGTTGAATCTATGACACGAAGAATTGAGGCAGTTCTGAAGGCAAAAGGGGGTCCAACCCGTTACTAGCATGAATTACCTAATAAAGTGGCCGGTGAGTGCATATGTTTGTTTAATTCAATATATTAAAGGTTTGTTCAAATTTTTTAAATTTTTTCTGACTTTGTCCTTGAAGTTTCATTAAATATATTCAAATTACATTCAACATATTGATAGTTCATTGAATATATTTCCCTGTTCACCCAGTTATCTTAAAAAAAATTGAATTTACACTTTATTTTATTAGAAAAAAATTAATATGGTTTACTTATTTAACTAATTAACTGTTAAATTAATACAGTTTTAAAACAGTACAAACACATGACCATTTATCAGAAATTGACATGTACATTGAGTCTAGTGACAAGCACAACAGTCCCATTAATGACATAAGCATCAATTAACATATTTCCATTTACATACTTAATATGTAGAGCATCTACAGACTTATTTCAACCCCCTAAGGGAAATAAAAGGTTTGAATTAAGACTTTGAGTTTTATTCAAATTCAAAATACTTGATCAGTTTCTTGGAGTTTTGGTTGATAGAACATGTTTAGAGTGAAAACTGTTTTACAGTAGCAAGTAAACCTCTTTGTGACCCTCACTGTGTCCATTCAAAGGTCATTTTTACTGTTTGCTCTAATATCAGTCATGAATGAAACAACATGAACCTGGTTACATAAGCTAGAGGGACCTGCTCTTCATTCTACTTATGAATCACTATGACTTAGCTGTCTGCACTGCCTTGGATTTTCCAGAAATGCCTCTTATTCACGGTTTTTCTTTTTTACATGATCACCATATAACTAAATAATATTTGTTTTTCGTTTTTTAACTTCCTGGTAATTACATTAAAGTTTGGAGGTTTTCCTTGTGTTTGTGTTGTTTTTGTGTGAGACATGTTATGGACAGATCCACATGCTTTTTGGAAATCTCTGCTACCAGTCTGCAGGTCATTCATCTGTAAATATTTACACTTTGGTTAATATTTCATTTAGCTCATCGTCACTGCAGCTCAGTGACTCTAATGTTATTCTGTGGATCGCTCTTACAGCCTCCTAAGACGGAACATGCTTCCTAGTTTTGAACTGGAGGAACCATGCATTGGGACAGTGCTCACTGAAATAGTGGCCGTGTTTCTACTGCAGCATTAGCTGTCATACAAAGTTCATGGGAAATGTTTGCTTGTTTCCAGTCTCAGGTGGCAGGTTCTGTTGAAAATAATAACAAGCTTGTTGCCCTGCACCACCTGAGCCGCACCGCAACACGTCAGTCACAACAGGCAGAACTCTTCGTCCAGTTACATAAGTGGAAAAAATGGGATTTCTTAGTCCAACCTTTAAACCTCTGGTATTATTACAAATATTTATTTATTTTTGCTCTTTGATGACTTACCATGTTAAGTCCCATTAGTGTGTACAGCAGTAGTAAG